TCTTCTAACCACTATGTCCGGCTTCCATTCCCTGTCAGCTCTGCTGCTGCTGTCTCTTAATTCTACCTCACTGTCTGGGGCGTCACTCCATTTTTACCTTCCTCCAGTCCAACTTCACACCTTGTTCTAAATACACATCTAATTGCCTCACTCTCTTTGTGAAGCCCAGTGGTAGCTCCCCATCATCTCACAGGAAGGCCCTCGCTTTCTCACCATAACTTGTGCTCCTCTCCAATATCTGGTTCCTGCTGACCTTCTAAAACGTTAGCACCCCAGTGCTGGCTTTGTGACACAAAAGTGCTCATTCCCAGGCCAGGGTGCTGCTCTGGGCCTTTGAACCTTTGAGTATGTTACTCTCTTTGCCCAAAACACCATTCCCACTTTTCTTCATCTGACTCATTCTTGCTTCAAGACTCAGTTTGGAAGGTATATACCCTAAAGAAGTGAGAGCCATGACAAGAACAGACATATGCATACCCATGTTCATCTCAGCACTATTTACTATTGCCAAAAGATGGAAACAACCTAGGCGTCCATCAGCTGAGGAGTAGATAACCAAACTATGATACATACACACAATGGAATACTAGGCAACTCTGAAGGATAATGTAGAATCTGCAAAACACCACATAACGTGGATGAATATGAAGGACATTATGCTGAGTGAAATAAGTCACAAAAGGACAAATATTGTATTAGTCCATTATTGTAAAAGTCAAGGAAAGGTTTATCTGTGGAAGGAAATTTTCTTTGTTGGTTACCAGGGGTGGGAGGGAAGGGTAGGGAACACTGTTAGATAGGTAGAGATAAGTATTGATTTGGGTAAAGAGAAGGGCAGTGTACCAAATGTGAGTGATCAACACAGTGGCATTGAGGAAGAGGAAGACAGAGAGAGGTACATGGGAAGTACAGACAACAAAGATGAACCCATTTGCACATACAGTACTGCGTTGTCAGTGAAGGCAAACATGGGTATATGGGTGGATAGATGGGTGGACAGACTGAACTGTTAGGTATGTCTATGTAGTAGAGAGTGTATCCAAGACCATGTATAGGGTTGGCAGACAATGGTCCTGTAAGTGTATTTGTATGATCTGTAAGAATTCCCAGGTGTATAGTAGAGCTGACAAGGGACAAGGTTGTAGTCACTTTTTGGTCACAGCCAGCTATCCAGAGGGACCGAGTAGTTGAACCAGTGGGCTTGGGACCATAGTCTCAGGGGACATCAAGCTCATTGGCATAACATACTACACAAAACATTGTTCTACCTCCTACTTTGGCGAGTAGTGACTCGGATCTTAACAGCTTGCCAGCAGCCATCTAGATGCAACGATGGGTCTGTCTTCATCCAGAGCAAAGAAAAATGAAGAAAACCAAAGATTCATGAAAATGATTAGTCCTGGCACCTGGTACACCATGCAGTCCACAGCCTATACTACCATGAGACCAGAAGAACTAGATGGTGCCCGGCTACCACTGTCAACTACTCAGAGGGGGATCTATGTAGGAGATCCTGGAGAAAGAGGGAGAACAATGTGGAACAAAACTCAAAATCATTTTGGGACAAAAAAGGGTGGGGAGGGACCAGGTTTGCTGGTGTGATAGAGCTTGGTGGAACCACTGAGAGTATGGTCCCTAGCTGCCCTTCAGGTCTGGAATTGAACTCATACCTGTGGCTCCAGCCAAACAAAAGATAGGCATATGAGTTGAACATTTACCTGAGGTAGATGCACTCCTTGGAGAGAACAATCAAGGGAGAAAGAAGGGCTGTTTATGCACAGGGAGCAGCTGAAGGGGCAGGAGTGCATGGAGGGAAGGACACAGGGAAGCAGTAACTATTGGGAGAAAGTGGGAACTATTGGGAGCTGCTGCATTGTGGTAAATTGTAGTCAATGTCATGAGACAAAGTCTGTGTGAACTACCATATGGAAAGTGAATTTGCTCTGTAAATTTTCACCCAAATCACAATTAAAAAAAAAAGAAAAAGAGCCTCACTTTGGAGGTAACCTCCTTCAGGAAGCTTTCCCAAATCCCTGTGTCACACTTCATATACCTACTCTTGTTTCTCAAACTTAACACTTACCCTGCTGTATTGAAACGATCTGTGTTTGTACGTGTGTTTTCATTTAGACTGTGGGTTTATTGACCATATTCTGTTTGTTTTGTAAGATATAACTTACACTGGACCATCACTTATTCATTCTTGTACAGCTAACACTTAGTAGTTATTCAATACATGTTTGATCTGAATTGATCATTTCACTTCCAATTCTGTATATAATAGTTAATAGGAGATTCTCAGCTCTTTTCTTCAATTAATAGGCCCTCAGATGGACTTAGAGAAGGGCAGCCATGGATAGAAAGGGAGATCTCTAGAAAGCAGTCACTCCAGCATATCACCTTGTTCAGGGCCCCACCACCAGTCCCAGGACATTACAAAAAAAAAAAAACCCAAACTCACTGCCATTGAGTCTATTTGACTCATAGCGACCCCTCCTTGGGTTTGCAAGGTGTTATCACTATAGAAGTAGATTGTCCAGTCTTCCTTCTGAAGAGTGGCTGGTGGATTTGACCGTCCAGCCTTCTGGTTAGCAGTCAAATGCCTTAGGTACTATGCCACCAGAGCTCCCCTTAGTGGATATTAATCTCTGTCTGGGAAGCTGCTGGGTACTCATCCCAAGGAGCCAGGCTGCTCTGGTCTGCATCCTGAGCCACATCTGGATGGAGCTGCCAGCGTCTCTCTGCTTCCTTTGATGCCTTCTGAGCCCGACTCTCCCTTGCTTTGCCTCTTGAATGAAGCCCAGGCTGGTTTGGTGGATACTAGGTAGCCAGTGTGCTGAAGCTTGTGGTTTTAAGTTCACTGGGATGGATTCCAGCCAGCTCTGGTCCTTCTGTGGGTTTCAGCTATCCAGGTATGAACTAGAGAAGTGAGAGATGTTACAGAAGATGGTACATTAGTAAAGTAATAGATGTCACCCAGGAAGAGTGAGGGTAAGACAGAGATCCAGGGCAGTGGATTATTGTTGTTTTTTGTCTGTTGCAGGGGAGGCCAACCCCTGCAGGAGGATTAGAGGGCCAGGACTCAGGATATCCATGAGAGAAGTCTTAGGGAAGCAGCTGTCGGAGTCCCAGTGGGTGATGGTGTTGGAGAGCTGACCTAATATTCCACACCCCCATTTCAGAAAAGATGAGTCAGAGTAATAAAAGGAATGATTTTAACATTTAAAAAGCATGGGAATTCAACTATATTAAGGGACCCAGGCAGAGTAGGGAGATGGTGGGGGCAGTGACAGCTGAGCCTGGTGTGGGCTTCTGCCCGTCTCTCAGGGATGAAGACTGGTGTGTGACTCACCAAGGAGATTAAGTCAAAGCCGTGGTGCTTGGACCTAGCCTCTCATCTAGACTCTCAGTTGAGTCTGGACTTCAGGTACACACTGCCCAAAGCCATCCTCCCTTCCAAGGAACTGTGTTAGAGGCAGGTCCTCGGTCTTAATCAGGCTAGGTTTATTGAGGGGCAGGAGGAAGTGTGTGGGAGGCTGAAATTAGCTAGATGCCTGTTAAGCAGGAATGAGCCATCATCTTTTTCAAATTGAATTATTTTGTGAAATAGAAAAGTGAATGGTTCAACATAAAAATTTTGAAAAATACAGAAATAAAAATAATTGTCCTTAATTCTTTTAGACATGTTTGGTAGCATTCTAGTAGAAAATCTGGTGACTGGCTATGACTTGGGGAGCCACGGCCCTGTGAGTATACAGTGTGAGCATCAGGATGCCATTTCTGGAGCAACATGTGCTGGTCACCTTCAGTGGGTATGGCCTTGAGCCAAGCACCCTGGAGAAACACGAGGATTGTGACTCTCAGTGATCAAGATGAGGCTTATGTATTGATGTGGTGTAAGGTGAGTCCTTGAGAGAGGCAAATACTGGCCGTGGAATTCAGAGGAAGAGATGACTTTCAGCTGGGGTCATCAGGGAAGGCTTTATGGAGGAGCAGCCATTTGTACTGTACCTTGGAAGTTGAGTGAGGCTGGGGAGGCCAACTGAGGGAGTAGAGTGTTCAAAGCAATGTGAATATATGCCAGGCATATGTGGGAATGCTGTGTTTGAGTGGAATGAAGGAGCAGTGTTGTTGTTGTTGTTATATGCTGTTGAGTCGGACCCGACTCATAGCGACCCCTCCTTGGGTTTCCAAGGCAGTATCACTACGGAAGTAAATTGCCCAGCCTTCCTTCCGAGGAGTGGCTGTTGGGTTTGAACCGCCAGCCTGCTGGTTAGCAGTCAAGTGCCTTAGGCACTATGCTACCAGAGCTTCCGAAGGAGCAGTAGGGGGTGATAAAATGGGGAGAAATCTACTAGGACTAGATTGAGAAGAGCCTTGACTATCCCACCACAGATCTTAAACTTTACGCATTAGGCAGTAAACAGGCTGTGACAGCACACATTTCCAAGATTAATCTCACTGAGATGTGTCGGGTGGATTATTATGAGGAAAAAAAGGGGAAAGTTGTTGTAGAGGTTCCCTGGTGGGAGGTAGTCAGGGTACCTGAATTGTGCGTTGTAGTGGGGTGAGGAGCAAGGGTAGAATGAGAACTGTGTTGGTTCCAGATGCCTGGAAATAGAGTTTCACCATTGATAGAGGCATGGTATAGCTCAGGACAAGGTAAGGAGCAGGGAGTGTCTGAGGCAGAAAAGGCTGTACACAGTGATTTGGAAACCATCCACACAGTCCTGCCTGAGGCCATGAGGACACCAGGATAAGGAAGGAGGGCTGAGATCAGACCTTTGGAGTCTCTGAGGGCAGCAGGGGCGGGCATATGGTACATACCAATAGGCTTCTGGTATATAGAGGGCAGAGGGGGAGGTGGGTGGCTGGTGTCCCCTCAGAGGTGTTCTGGCTCTGCTGACTTGCCCTCTCTTCTGACTGTGTAGGTATAGACGGGGCACTGCCTGCAGAGCAGGTCCTGCCACTTTGCTGGAGAGGATGCCCCTCTGTCCGTGATGGGCTGTGGGACAAGCAAAGTCCTTCCTGAGCCGCCCAAGGATATTCAGTTGGATCTGGTCAAGAAGGTGGAACCCTTCAGTGGCACCAAGAGTGATGTGTACAAGCACTTCATCACAGAGGTGGACAGTGTTGGCCCTCTCAAAGCTGGGTCCCCGGCAGCCAGTCAGCATGCACACCCCTGTCCTGGTGCCCCCACTGCCGGCCACACAGAGCCTTCCTCAGAACTACCACGTAGGCCTAAAGTGGCCAAGTACAGGGCCAAGTTTGACCCGCGTGTAACGGCCAAGTATGACATCAAGGCCTTAATTGGCCGAGGCAGCTTCAGTCGGGTGGTACGCGTGGAGCATCGGGCAACCCGGCAGCCATACGCCATCAAGATGATTGAAACCAAGTACCGGGAAGGGCGGGAGGTATGTGAGTCAGAGCTGCGTGTACTGCGGCGGGTGCGTCATGCTAACATCATCCAGTTGGTGGAGGTGTTTGAGACACAGGAGCGTGTGTACATGGTGATGGAGCTGGCCACTGGTGGCGAGCTCTTTGACCGCATCATTGCCAAGGGTTCCTTCACTGAGCGTGATGCCACACGGGTACTGCAGATGGTGCTAGATGGCGTCCGGTATCTGCATGCACTGGGCATCACACACCGAGACCTCAAGCCTGAGAATCTGCTCTACTATCACCCGGGCACAGACTCCAAGATCATTATCACTGACTTTGGCCTGGCCAGTGCCCGCAAGAAGGGTGATGACTGCCTGATGAAGACTACCTGCGGCACACCGGAGTATATTGCTCCTGAGGTCCTAGTCCGTAAGCCCTACACCAACTCAGTAGACATGTGGGCACTGGGCGTCATTGCCTACATCCTGCTTAGTGGCACGATGCCATTTGAGGATGACAACCGCACCCGGCTGTACCGGCAGATCCTCAGGGGCAAGTACAGTTACTCGGGGGAGGTGAGTCTGTCCTGCCCCAGTCCTGGAAATGTAGGGGAGGCTCCTAGGTGGGGGATGTATCCCACAGTTCTCAGTCAAAGGGACATGCTCTATGGACCATGCTGGAGGGCCAGGTAGGTGATATAAGAATGTCCTAGCAGAGATACCATCTGTTTCTGGGGAGGGCATCTGGCTGTGAAGTGAGTGCTGGCTGAGGTGATGCTGGGTCCTGTTCTAATCGTGTCTATCCTCAACCTCTGTATAGGAAAGTGATGAGATGACGGGGCTGTATGTCAGGAATAGTAGAGGCCTGTGCTTCTCAGATCACGTGGGGATTGTGTTAAAATGCAGCTTCCGAGTCACTAGGGCTGACTGGGGCCTGAGATTCTGCTTCTTTAACAAACACCTAGGTGATGTGGATGCCACTGTCCTGCAAACCTCACTTGGAGGAGCAAGGGTTTAGGCAAGTGTCATAAAAATGGGCTGTGTGATCAGAGCCTTGGAGAAAGTGAGACTTGAGCTTTGGAGGATGGCTGAGAGCTGTCCAACTGTAAGAAGGGGAATGGCATCTGCTAAGGCACAGGTCTGAGAAAGCAGGAAGCTGGCTTGGGGCAGGGGCCTGAGTGTCAAGTTCGTCTATAGCTAAAGTCAGAGAATCTAGTAGGGACACCTGGGAGTTCAGTTGTTCTTACGTAGGCTCTGGAGAACCATATGAGGTTGTAGCTGCAACTGAAATTTGAAGATCAATCTGTGAGTGCCTAAGGTTGAGAGGATGGTATCCTGGGGCTAGTCGGAACCATGTCTCCCATATTTGTCTTGGGCAATAGGGCCTGGAATGAAGGTCCTGGCTGGAGGATGGGGACAAAAGGGACTAGGGACAAGCTAACTTAAAAGAGACTTACCGGGACTGTCTGGGCTCTTGGCTGGTTGGGGTGGGACAGGGGAGCCATCACCTTTAGGGCCCTGGGAGATTTGGAGCCTTTACCCTTTAGGCACAACTGGCTCACTTTTTCCCAAGCTCTGATCACAACCCATTTTTATGACACTTGCCTAAACCCTTGCTCTTCCAAGTGAGGTCTGCAGGACAGTAGCATTCACATTACCTGGGTGTTTGTTAGAAATGCAGGTTTTCTTTCCTCCTCCTGCCACCTTCAGAGACTGGAAAGATGCATGGTTCCCAACCAAAAGGCTCCTCTACCAGCTTTTCTTGTGATGCTGAAGTGGGGAAAGCTTAGCCAGGGCATGTCAGCCCCAGCGCATATTGGAGGCAGCCAAGCATTGGCTTGGCAGTGCTTCTGCAGGAAAGGAACTCTGGTTGTCCATCCTTTTTAGCTTCCTAAACTCCTGGTGCACCGGCAATGGTAGAGATGTGGTGCCTGGCTGCAGATGAAGGTGGGGGCAGGGCATTCTCTAGCTCTCCTCAAGTTCCTCACGTTTTCTTCCTCACTCCAAATGGATTCAACAGAAATAAATATTGACTGACTGGGAAGCCCAGGCTGTGGTGGGAGTAGTCATGGAGGACATTGTCCTGCTCACAGTCTGGGCCGGATCTGATTGCAGGTCAGAAGACCCAGAATCCACCTCACAGAGGCACTTGTGCCAAGGCTCTGCCTGGCTTGCTGTGCTCTGGGAGCCCAGCCCTTGGAGCTCTGTGTGGTGCCGGGGTACTGAGGATACAGCTGGTTGGAGGGCAGGTTTCCTTAGAGGCACTCACAGACGGAAGACTTTCCAGGAGTCTGTAGGTTTGCCCAAGAGTTTCTCATTCTGGCAGTTGTTGATCTGGCAGTTTGTGTAATTGGTGCCTGTAGAGTCTTGCTAACTGGCTATTGATTATCTGAGGCAGGGAGAATGACAAATGGAGTGAGGAATGGATTCAGGCTTCCCACTCCTCTCTGGTCAAAAGACTGGGTCCCAGGAGCCTTCTTCCCACCCTGCTAGAATCACAGGGCATGAGTCTGGGGGGAAGGGAGGACCACCTAGATTTCAGCACCTACTCCTCTTTACCTGGAGCTGAAAGCATCACAGTCAAATTGCTGGCTGGCCCTGGGAGCACTTGGCTGTTAAAGGAGCTTGACTGACCGTGGGAGCAGATTCCCCCACCCTGTGAAGATGGTTCTGGGTTGGGAGGGCATTGTTTGGGGTGTTTCCTGAGTGAGGGGCCCTCATCAGTAGATATGGCGCTCTGAGCCAGGGACCAGGCATACGTCTTTCTCTTCGGTTGCTGATCCTGCCCATCCCCAAATATATCTGGGGAAAATACAGGGACCTGTTCCTCATGGCCACAGAGCAAGAGATTGCCTGGGGAGAGAGAACTGGAAAGAGGGAATGCCACAGACTGGACCCCTTCATTGGCAGGAACCTGGTGTCGAGCTATGGGCTTGGGCAGTCTAGAGCATAGGCTGCAGGACTCAGGCTGGCTGGGCTGCTGGGCTAGCCTCGCTCCTTAGGGCTGAGCCCTATCCCACCCTCCAGCCATCTGCCTTACACCGTGTGATGGTCGTTTGTTCTTGTGAAGGTCATCTGAGTGAGCAAGGAGACCCTGCCAGAAAACCTGTCTGAGAGCATGCCCTGGTAAGAGGGTGGTGGTCTCAGCTCCTTGTACATATGAGCGACTTCCCCCTTTGTGCTCAGCAGGGTTTGGAAGGGTGTACTTCCTTACCAGAAAGTAAGTCCCATAACACTGGGTGACTTTCTAGGGGTACTGTCTGTTCCCCTTCCTCTTTTCCCTCATGGTGGTATCTTGTGTACACCAAGCCCTGTGCAGTGTGCTTGTTCCCCGAGGGCTCTGTCCGTGCAGCCCCCTGTCAGGGTCAACGGTTTTTCTGTGAACTAGAGTTGAGGGCTTCCTGCAGAGGGTGGTTTATGACAAGATCAGGCACGTTCAGGGTGGTATGGCTATAGATGAGTGTGGGTTTTGAGAATAGGGTGGCTCAGAGAAGGAGATCTTGTTGCCTATGCTCCAAAATATATAAGAGGTTGTTTATTGCTGTGGGAAGTAAAGGGACAGAGGTTGAAGAGACTGGGGACAGGCCTGGTTCTCCTTGGTGGGAGTTGTGTAGTGCTGGGGACTGCTTGGGGAGTTGTGTCAGTTGGGAGGGAGCCCTCTGGGTTCTCGATAGTGAAGGTATGCTGTAGCAAGTATTGGAGGAGATTAGCAAGAGGAAGACTCCTGGGGGCTGTTGGAATAATCCCAGTTTGGGGTGGGGATGCCTGGCCACCTGGAGTGTTTAGGAAAAGCAGGGGTTCAGGAGAGTGGGCTACACAGCGTATTGGGTGAGCTGCACTTGAGGAAGAGAGGGTGAGTGTGCCAGGCTGCCCTCGTGGTCCAGAGAGAACCACATCCCTGAGTGGGCCCAGTGTGAGGGAAGCACACTAGCTTGATCCTCCTTTAGCACCCTGCCCCTCAGTCCACAGCCCAGGCCCCAGGCCCTGCCCCAGCCCCTGTACCACATAGGCATCTGCTCTCTTCACTGTTCAGTAAGCTTTTGCTCCCAGTGTTGCTTTCAGAAATTTTACCAGCTCTAAAAGGTCCAGTTCAAAGGTTTCTTTCTCCACAACAATGCCAACCACTGCTGTCGACCAGTGCTTACTGAGTGCCAGGTTGTTGCTGTGCACCCAGCATCTCTAGTCCCCTAGCAACCCTTCCAGGTAGGTGTAACCCCCAGTTACAGAGGTAGAAACAGGCTAGTAAGGTTAAGGAACTTGTCCATGATCTCCCAGCTAGAAGGTGACAGGTCTGAGATTTGGATCTAGGCCATTTTGGTGTCGAGAGTTCTCGGCCCTTCTTCTAGTCTGCTCTCCTCCACACACAGGCCTCAGCATGTAGTCGAATTGTTTCAGTGCTTTCTCGGTCTACTCTCTGTGGCCCATCCTTCTTCCCTGGCCTGGAAGATCCTTGAGGACAGTGTGTGCATAGCTGTATAAGCTCTTTGTGGTTGGGTCCGAGACTTGGTGCACAGCAGATATTTGTTGGGTTAAACTAGACTATTTACATGTGTTGACTGTGGGGAAGGTTTTGTCTGGCTTTTCCTGAGGGAGGCATCAGTGGTGGTTGGTGCCTGTTGGAAGGGGACCCAAAAGCGATTGCTGGCAGACGGAGGCCCAGGCCAACTGGGAGTGCTCTCTTGTAGCGGCTGGCTTCCAGACAGTAGGGACCTGCTGGTGATAGATTTAGCAAGCTGCTGGCTAGACTTGCATGGGGACACAGGCAAGAAAGCGGTTTGAAGGCCCCCGGGGTAGATGTGCACATTACTTCTTAGAGGCAAATGCAGGAATCTAGGAAGATGAGGTAGTCCTGAGAGGGAGGAGCCTGTAACAGGCCCTGACGAGGGGAGAAATCGGAATTTTGCTCGAGGACTAAAAGCACTGGAATGGAAAGGGCCACGCTGGGGTCACATTGGAAGTGATGGGGAGATGGGCGTCAGTCAGGTGTGAAGAGGGCCTTTGTGATCAGGAGAGCCACCTGGGGAGAGTGAGCTTTTTTGGAGGCCTCAGGAGGGCTGGGGGTGCTGTTTCTAAGTGAGTAACAAGGAACGTGAGTCATTACCAGTGGAGTGTACCCAAGACCATGTATAGGTTTGGCAAGCAGTGGTCCTATAAGTGTATTTGTATGATCTTTAAGAATTCCCAGGTGTATAGTAGAGCTGACAAGGGACAAGGTTGTAGTCACTTCTTGGTCACAGCCAGCTACCCAGAGTGACCGAGTAGTTGAACCTGTGGGCTTGGGACCATAGTTGCAGGGGACATCAAGCTCAATTGGTATAACATACTACACAAAACATTGTTCCACCTCTTACTTTGGCAAGTAGCGACTGGGATCTTAAAAGCTTGCAAGCAGCCATCTAGATGCAACGATGGGTCTCTTCCTCATCCAGAGCAAAGAAGAATAAAGAAAACAAAGATGCATGGAAACGATTAGTCCTGGCGACTGGTACACCATGTGATCCACAGCCTGTACAACTATGAGACCAGAAGAGCTAGCTGGTGTCCGGCTACCACTGTCAACCACTTGGAGGGGGATC